AATGTCCAGGTTCGAATGTAAAGAAATCCCCGCCTATCCTATGCGTGATTCACGTGTATTTATGCACTGGGTGTTTGTTGTCCTAACTTCTGAAGGATATCTAAGAAAAATTAATAATAATAATAATAATATGCATCTTGATTACACAAAAAATATCCTGAAGACTTGCCAGATGCAGAAGAATTTAGTAATGAATGAATGTCTCTATTTTTGGAGATTTATCAAAAATATTGATAAACCTTAACGACAATCTCCGTTTTTTTGAGCTGTTACACAACAATGGCTTAAGAGACTTATAATCTTATGTTGAAATTGCGTTAAGAATTTTCTTAACCATGCCAGCTTCCAACTGCGCGGCAGAGAGATCATTTTTCCTCACTGCGAAGATTGAAGAATTGTTTGAAACCAAGAATATCACACAAGAAGTTAAACTGGTCCGCAGTTTTATCCGTTGAATTGGAGTTGAGAAAAAAATCAAATACGATGACATAATAAATTCATTTCCTGATCACAGGCACCAAGGAAAAGCCTATGAATATATTTGAATGTGAATACTGCGCTGATATAATGAACTAATCTAATAATACAATCGAATCTAATAAACCTCCATTGTCTTCCAGTTCACTTTCGAGTTTTATTTAAAATAGCTGTCATCGTCTTAAACTTTCAATCTCTCATTCACCGTCGTTTCTTGGTGATCTACATAGTAATACAATGTTCGACTTGTGGTTGTACTTTGCATGCCACTTGTTATGGCATCAAAGAGGATTTTTTTGCATTTATGAATGGCAGTCATAGCATAATGATTTTTTGTGATTCTTGTTTACTGCTTTTTAAACGTCTTGATAAATTAGAGGATGTTAATAAAATTAGTGGGAATATCAATAAGATCTTAAAAGATCATCAGTCTATGCAATCTGATATTGCATCTATCAAAGAGACCTTAGATAACATTGGTTCTAACGTTGTTTCTGTTGTAGGTATCCAGAATGAAATTGATTTATTAAGGAATGCCATAAATTGTGAAATTTCATCTGTCAAGGATATTTTGTCTAATATTATTTCTACGATTAATGCTAAAACAAATTTTAATGATGATATCAATTCCTTGAGAAAGGATGTTAACAATGTCTTTCAAAATGAATCAGGGTCTATTAAAGATTCACTAATTGAGGTTAGCTTACATGCTCTTTCAAGATCAAAGGTTCAAGTTGAACTTACTGTACTTCCCTAAAAAATGATAAAGAAAAAAGCTGGTCAAGCTTGTTCAAAAATGAGATTGATAATAGTATTAAGTTGATTAGCACTGAGGTTAAACAAGTTACCAAAAAACTTGATCACGATGCTGAGCTTAAAAAGTGTGCTAACAACATTGTTATTTTTAATTTTAGGGAAAATGATACTATCAAAAATGATAGAGTTTGTATATTTGAAGTTGTGTGGTGACAAAGCTGATGCCAACTCATTTTTTTGAAAAGAGTGGGGATCAAAAAAGATAACTCAATTAGACCTGCATGGTTGATGTTTCGTGATATCATTATTGCCGGTGATTTCAACATTCATGTTAAGAAATGTGATGATCTAAATACCGTCAAGCTTTTTGACATGTTTTCTTCATTTAATTTGGACAATAGAATTAATTCACTCACCCATAAATTAGGCGGTGTATTAGATTTGGTGGTATCTTCTGACTGTTTAAAGCCATTGTCATGTGATATTGATCCAGCGGGCGTAATTTCAGATCATGGTTTTATTAAACTGTTATTCCTTGTTTGTAGTAAACAGCATTTTTTTGTAAATAAAATGATTCGCTCATGGCACCGCATTGACGGAGTCAAATTTTCTGAGCTTATTCTTAATTCACCATTTCTTCACTTATCGGAAAGTTTGAATGTATATCAATCATTGCAAATATTCACTGATGAATTTCTTAAAATTGCTGATCAAGCAGTTCCTCTTTTTGTTCCTGTGGCCCCATGGCTCGATGATGATTGTAGATCATTGAAAGTTAAGTGTCGGCGAATTGGGAGATCACTTGAGGGTCAGTCTGATAAACATTTATTGGTACTGGCGCTTACTGAGAAATCAAAGTTATTTGCTAAAAAGAAGAATGATTATTGATCTAATCAGGTTCGTCTGCATTTGAATCAGCCAAAAAAAAACTATGGTCCACTGTTAACAAAATTCTTTGTAGAAAGCCTGCTGTGAGTTCTGCGGTGTCCGGCATTGATGTTTCGGTTCATAATTTGTCTAAATTCGTTTACAGCAAAATTACTTCAATAAGGGAGTCAGTGCAATCTGTATTTTTTTAATGCCCCATTGGATGTCAGTGGGACCTGTGCATTGCTGGCATTTCAGGAATGTACGGCTGCTGATATTCTAAAGTTGTACTTGACTCCCTATCTAGCTGTTTTTCGCTTAATTTGGTGCCACCCCATGTTTTTAAGAAATATATTGACTTTTTCCTTCCATTTTTATTGCATATTGTCAATGTAGCCTTTAGCTCTGGCCAGTCTCCCTCCTTACTGAAACATGCTATAGTCATCCCCACTCTGAAAAAAACCAAGCCTTGATAAAAATACATAGAAATACATTGGCTAATTATCGCCCGGTCTCTAACCTTAAGTTTTTGACTAAAATTATTGAGAGAATAGTAAACAAGCAGTTACTTTGCTATTTGTCTGCTAATGGTTTTCTTCCGTCTTATCAATCTGGTTATCGGCGATTTCATTCGACTGAAGCTGCACTCATCAATTTGGCTTCAGAATTGTTTATGACAATTGATGAGCAAAAGATTTCGCTCCTTGTTCTGCTTGACATAAATTTGGTTTTTTGGGTATTGTCCTTTCTTGGTTGAAAGCTTACTTGTGTGATCGTACTCAAGAATTTTTGTTTGGTGTTGAGGTATCTGATGTTGAAAGATTGTCGTTTGGTGTTCCTCAAGGATCTGTGTTGAGTCCGTTGCTGTTCTTGTTGTATGTGTCTGATCTTTTTGAAGTTGTTAATAGGCATGGTTTTAAATGCCAGGTTTTTGCTGATGATGTCCAAATATTAGCTAGTTGTTCTCATTTTGGTTTTGCTGAGTTGTTGGAAAACCTTGTTCTTTGCTTGTCAGATGTTAGTAAATAGATGTCATCTAATCGCTTGAAATTAAATAATAGTAAAACACAAATTTTGCCCATTGGCACATGGCAGTAGTTGTCTAGAATTGATATTAAGGGTTTATTTTTTAAAGGGATACGTATTGATTTTTGTACGAGTGCTAGTAGTCTGGGTATAATATTTGACACAAATATGTCTATGGAGCCACATATTAAGCGTTTTGCTAGAGACTGTTCAAATCAACTAAGGTTGTTGAAATCAGTAAAACATTCACTTGATGTTCATAGACTAAGTTGTCTGGTCCATCCTTTTATACATTCTAAAGTGGATTAATGCAATGGCCTATTCTATGGACTATCACAAAGAATTATTCAGATATTGCAGTCTTGTTTCTGGACGTTCTAGGTCTTCTGATCATGTCAGCCTCATTTTGAGAGACTTACACTGGCTGCCTGTTAAATTGCTTATGTTCAAATGCTTGAATGGTATTGCAACTGGCTATCTAATTGATAGGTGCACTGCACGTCTTGTTCCAGGGCATTCCTACAAATTACGTTCTAATGATCGTGACTTACATTTTGTGGCCACAATAAATCTTGTTACAGGTTCAAGAAATTTTTCACTTGTTGGTTTATCTGTATGGAATAGCCTGCCTTTGGAACTGCGTGCTTCGGGGCATTCAATTTTATCCTTCAGGAGAGGACTAAAAACGTTTCTGTTTGTGCAATGAGCGCTTTGATTGTTGTTTCCTTGTGATCTGTTTCAGCGCCTTTGAGATTTGATGAAAGGACGCTATATAAATCTACCTATATACATATATATATATATATATATATATACGGTCATTAACACACAAAGACAGATTCATGGAAGGTTCTGTTAGCTTGGTCATTATCAATGCGTATGCAAATTACGATTTGCGTACAGGTTGCTATAGCTTGATAGCAGCTGAGTATAACTACTTTGTTTCAACCAATTAACGCAACAAACACGTGACATTTAAACAGAAGCACTGATACGCTCATATTCTGTGTAATTGCTTGAATATTTTATTTGCTTTTTTGCTTGCTTTGTTATTTTGTACAGCATATATCCTTTTCTAGTACTTTTAAATTTTAATTAAATTTTAACATAATATCTTTTTCAAAAAAATTTTTAGTTTTGTCAATAAAAATCGTAAAAGCGAATTTGTTTGTAAATATTTCAATTTTATAGGTTAAATAATTTTTCTGTGTGTACACGGTGCCCAGTAAACGCGCAATTAATACGTCAATAGCCGGCTCCGGCCGGATATCAGTTTTTGTTATCCGGCTATATCGTCTCCGGCTGGATATCAAAAAGTACTATCCTGTATAACCCTAGCATTTTTCAGTCGTTGACATGATTGTTCTTTAAAATACAATTGCAAGAGTAAATAATTTTATGATACATATTTTGTAGTTTTTTTTACCCACTAAAATAACACGTACCCTACTTCATTTTAGGCCTTGGTAACACGTTAATGAGGGAACAGTTGAAATACTAGGATCACCATGATTGGGGCATATTGAACTTGAACCGTTTTAATATTAATCCAAAATTTAAGTTTGTTTGTTTTTGAAACAGAAGCTATCAGAATGGTCAAATATTAACAGCGAAAAACAGTATGAAAACTTTGTGAGCAATAATAATATTTTTAATAAAACTTAGTATAACATCAGTTTGTACACAAAACAACTGTTTTAAGAGGAAATAAGACCAATCCACGTGCAAGCATCGTATAATACGCGTAAAACTGTCTTCGCGTTAGTTTCGGACAGACAGCATTCGAACCGTGTAACGCAAGATATGGCACTTCTACAGAAAGCTAACTCGGTGAACTTAAACACATATACGAAATGTAAATGAAGGCCAGTTCGAACTTTTACTTAAATATTATATGGAAAAACAACCGAACAAATTAAATACAAGTAGTTGTTACAAGATAAGCTTGATGTTTAATTGAAAGCAAATTTCCCGGATTACGAAGAAGGTTGTAAAGTCGGTAAATCAATTATTTTACAGCGAAAAAAGAATTGAAAGTCAATTTTCGTATTCAACTTATCAGCTGTCATCTCTTTCTGCATTATCATCCATGGCATAATCTAGAAAAAAAAGCGGCATATAAAATTTGTTTAACAGAAAGAACATTTACAAAATGAGTAACAAATTCAAAGCATCAGCATTAATTGATTAGGCAACGCACTTACGCACACCTAGACAACACAGATATGCATTTATCTTTGCTGACCCATATCATCATCATAATTTTGAGAAAGAAGAAAATTTGCTGCCAAATCTTCATTTTTCTCACATGCAAAGTAGGCTTGAAGACACAAAACCTCTGGAAACCCTAATGCTTTTAGCTGAATGTAAAACAAAACATTTAATTTGATTATACATATAATTATATTATAAGCATATTTTACATAGAAAATAATTTTTTGGTTAGGAAGGAAATATTTCAGGCAGCATAACAAACAAAATAGGATGAAATAGTGTATTACCTTACTATTTGTTTTGATGTTAACAACAAGGCGGTCTGAGTCAGTCAGACATTTTTGCAGGAGTCAGAATTTTTGAGTGGCCGAAGTCGGAAAGTAATATGAAATTGAAAACTTTTTATTCTGAAAAAACCTAACCCTAACCCAGGATAAAATTTTTTGAATCCAAATCTAAAAATCCATGATCCTTAAAAAATTTCAAATTCTTAACACTTTCCAGAGTCGGATAAAAAATATTCAACTCTGATTACTCAACAAATTCCGACTCAGGCAAAAATACTCTGACAACTGTGGTTAACAGACTAATCTACAATTTCAAAATTATTAAATTGATCAGTCCATAACTCAATCAATCAATCTTCGTTTAGCATCCAGAGACCCAGTTCCCCTGAGGTAGGACGTAGTCCATAAACCAACTTATGATTTGAGCCCAATTCAGTGCTAAATATTTAGCCTAATACAACAACAACACACGTTTAGACGGCATTTTCCCCGAGATCGGGGGTTGCCGTTTGGCTACATATGATGAAACCGAAATACCCCTCGACGCCATCCACATCTGTCACTCGCCTCAGTATCACGCAACCCCGCTTTCACCCTGTCCTTCTCCACCTGCTCTCTCCATCCCAATCGCGGACGACCCCTTCCTACCACTCCTTCAACCTCGAACTCCAACGCTCGCCTAATCCCGACCCTTTCATCCCTTCTCAACACATGTCCATACCACCGCAATCTCGATCTCCTTATCAATGTCACAATGTCCTCATTCAGTCCCATCATTGACATCAGCTCTGTACTACTCCTATCCTTCACTTTAACCCCACACATCATCCTCACCATAGCTCTTTCAGCCCTCTGCAGTACACTTTCCTCCTCTCTCCTCAACACCCAAGTTTCACCACCATATACCATCGCTGCTCTCACACATGCTTTATATACCCTCCCTTTCATCTTCACTGACCATTTCTTTCCACACAATACCCCACCCAGTTCCCTAAATTTCATCCATCCCACACGAACTCTAGCCGTAACTGCGCTCAAGCATCCTCCATCCGCATTCAGCTTATCCCCTAAGTAAACAAAGCTTTCCACTCTTTCAATACCACCACTCAACCCCGTTCTTGCGTCCGTCCTATTAATCACACCATGAACACATTTCTTACATTTGAACGTGCCTTCCACCTTTTTCAGTGCCCCCCTCACACCACTACATCTCTTATGCACCCATTTCTAACATCCTATACACAATACTGAGTTAGCCTTCACTCTCCTATCACATACCCCACAGGGGTCTATTTTACTTATCACTCGCTCCCCACCTTCCCCACTCACCATTACCTTCGTCTTACCAATATTAACTTTTAACCCTTTCTTTTCAATAACACTTTTCCATCTGTCAAATTTTAACTGCAATTCTTCCATGCTATCAGCCATCAAGACTAAATCATCTGCATACAAAATCTCAAATAACAACCCCTCCATTATGTTTCCACACACAACATCCATCACAATTGCAAACAGAAACGGTGATAACACTGATCCTTGATGCACTCCTACCTTAACACTAAAAGCGTCCGACATCCCCCTTCCAACCCTCACCTTTGTCTTTGCTCCTTCATACAGCTGCATCACAGCTTTAACAAGTCTCTCATTCACTCCTTTCTTCCTCAACGCCCATTCAATGACCTTCCTTGGTACTCGATCAAAAGCCTTTTCTAGATCCACAAAACACGTGTACAATTTTCGTTTCTTCTTTCTATAATTCTCCTGCAACATTCTCACCATGAACAACGCATCCACCGTTCCCCTACCAGGCATAAACCCACACTGCATTTCATTAACTGTCACCATACTTCTCAACCTCCTCTCAAGCACCCTCTCCACTACCTTCATTCCGTGCTCTAGTAATTTCACACCCCTGTATGACCCACAATCTCTCACATCTCCTTTGCCCTTATACAACGGCACCAACACACTGTGTCGCCAATCTTCAGGTATACCTTCATCATCAAACATACTGTTAGCAATTCTCATCATAACTTCAATTCTTATCACCCCACTCGCTTTAATATGTTCTGCCGCCACTTCCGAAACCCCTGTCGCCTTACCTAGTTTCATTTCTCTAACTGCTTTCTCTACTTCCTCCATCGTCACCTTCTCTATAGGTCCGTGTGTGACCGCGGATTCCACATCTCCCTCCCACTCATTCTCTTCATTCATCAACCTTTCCATATGAGCTTTCCACACCTGAGCTTTTTCCTCCTCATCTATGCACAACTTGCCAGATCCATCCCAAACACATCCATTCCCTATAACATCTTTCCTATCCCTCATTGACTGCTTTGCTACTTTGAACATTTTCCTCGAACTCACATCAAATTCCATTTCCTTCATTAACCTATCTGATGCTTTCGTCATTGCAGTTGCCACTGCCTGTTTTGCAACCTTCTTAGCCTTCCTATACTCAGACTCCGCTTCCTCCGTCATGTCCCTTCTCCATACCCTAAACCTCTCCTTCTTGACTTTCAAAACCCTTCTTATATCTTCATCCCACCACCACGTCTCACCATGCCTACACTTTCCTTTCGTCCATCCACATACTTTATCTGCCGTAGCCAACACACAGTCCTTGTATCTCTCCCAAACATCTCCATCCTTACCACTCTCCCAATTTTCAGCCACCTTCACTTCAAATGCCTTCCTCACCTCTGCATCCTGCAACTTCCATGTCTTTCTCTTTGCCACAAACTTATCCTTCTTCCTCCTCCCCATTTCTTTTGATGTCACATCCATCACAACCATACTATGCTGCAACATACCAGGTATCGCCTTCACATTCTTCACATACTTCCTATGTTTGGCCCTTACCAATATATAGTCTATCATCGATCTATGTTCCCCTAACCTATAAGTAATCAATCGCGCTGGTTCCCTTGTGAACCAAGTATTCCCCACCACCATGCTATGTGCATCTGCTAACTCCAACACTCTACGCCCTTCCTCATTCCGTATACCATATCCCCATCCCCCATGTACACCTTCATATCCGTCTGCATCCGCCCCCACATGACCATTCAAATCACCCAACAACACCACAAACTCATTCAACCCCGCTTGCCCGATCTCGTCAGAAACATCATCATAAAACCTATCCTTCTCCTCTTCCTTCCTACTTTGTTGCGGAGCATATCCTGATATCACCCTCACTATTACTTTTCCAAACATCATCACCACCACAATTACCCCATTGCTTCTCCGCCTCACTTCCAACACCTTCTCCACCAACTCTTCTCTTACCATCACACCAACTCCTCCCGTACCATCATCCCCCTTCCACCACAACTTATATCTTCCACCTTTAGCCCCCACAAACCTTATACCCTCACCCTTCCATCTGATCTTCTGTAATGCAGCCTAATATTAAACGTTTATCAACTTTCAGTATTTGCATCATTCGGTAAGTAATAAGTCAAGTAATAAAGAACAACAAATTAAAAAAGATTATTAGCACATCTATTGATATTTGGTCAGACATGAATTTATTTGAAAAATATACCCTTTCAACAGCTTGCTTTTCTTCTGGACTGACTTGTATATAGCCAGATTCCAATGCACTAGCAGAGAGATTTGAGTCAAGAGGAGGAACAATGGAACCTGAAGTAGCTGGATCAAGTGGTTCATTGAGCATCTGAACAAAACGACTCTGATTGTCTGTGATAACCTGCAAGAGATAATTCTTTTAACTAGACAATCCCAACAAGCCAGTTCTAATTGCGTAAATACGAATTAAAAGTATAAAATTTTATTTTAAAATTGTTTTTGAAAGAATTATTAAAAAAAAAAAAATAATTGATATCTAATGGTAACCAGGTCAAAAAAAGACATTCATAAAAGCCAAACAAAAGACAGACGCAATTTATCCACTTACACATTCAATTTCGTTTATCTATATTAATTTATCTTCAATGATTAATTGAAATTTGAATAATGTAATTGAATAATGTACTTGAAATAATCGAGGATTGGATTGCCTGATTTGAGTGAGAATTGAGGATAATACAGCTGGATTTGACTGAATGAGTTGTCGCATTTGCATGAACTGTGGCTGTGTACGCAAGAAGGCCAAAGGATCATCTGATATAACAAAAATTTAACAATGTTAACAACACATCCTTATATTTGAAAAACTTATAAATCTTTATAAGCAAATAACATACTATTTATTTATTTTTAACACATCCCTTTTGTTCTTATACTTGAATGAAAAGACCTTTTTCACAGCACTTGCAAGAAAAAAAAAGTAAAACTGAAGCTTAAAAAGCAAGAAAGCACACATCGAAATAACTCTAGTAGCCAATATCAAATAAGTTACTCAAGAACCAACTGACTGAACAAATGGTGCAACAACTGATTGAACAAATGGTGCAATCAGTTCCATCACCGTAACAAGTTGAAAACATCAAACAGATTTATACCAAGATAAAATGGTTATAACACCTACAAAAATTGTTCGTATGGATACTAGAATTGGAGCATTAGAAAAGCAAAGATTAGAAAAAACAGCTTAAAGAATGAGACTGACATGAGATTACATCTTTTTGTGAAGAATAATCGCCAGATATTTAGCAATATTGGAGATGAAAGTTACTTTATAAACCATGTATAACAACACTAATTTTAGAAAATTTTCATATAAGATTAGCCATTCCTACAGACAAATACGCACCTGCAGAAGATTGTTCTAATGTTGTATTTTCCAATGATGGATGTACTAATGGGGTTGATGCTTGCTCACTCGATTGTTCCGCTGAGGATTCTTCAGGGACTGAACCCTGCATTCATTGAAGAACTTGTTATACAAAACAAATGACCAAATATTTAAACAAAAAAAAAATATAAATGTCAAAATGTCAATAAGAAAATTAATCAGAAACAAATAAAACAGTCACAACATAATCCCTTCAAAGGCTGAAAAATGACAAAATAATTTTCAAATGGTACTTTAACTTTTTGTATAATTACTAAAAAATTCATAATGAACATATTGGGAAAATGAGAAAAAATAATGTTAAAAGATTAAAAATATAATAGAAACATAATTTAAATTAAAATTTTAAAACACTTGATGGAGATTTAAAAAAAAGATAACACTTGATACTAAAATTTAATTATTAAAAACATCTCATCATCATAACATAACCAAACATGATAGTTAATAAAAAAAAGTAAAACTAACACTAAGAAGATATTCAACTGCTCGGTCTGGATTATTGAAACTGGCTCTCATAGCTCTCAATACCTGTTCTCTTGGAAATCCCATTGACATGATTTCCTGCACTGTTTTCTCAAATGACTCCCCGGTTACGAGGATGCTTTCTGCAGCAGCCGCAATAGGCTGAGAAGTAGAAGGAACAGTGACAACAGAAGTGGTGACAATGGCTGTGGTTGAAGTTTGTTTAACAGAAGGTGGAGGTGCTTGAGGAGTGGGAGGAAAAGCCGGTTCTTTGTGAAGGACAGTAGCAGTTGATGCTTCCTGTGATGTGGATGCTGTCTCAGGGGTTGGCTGAGGCTTTGGCTAAAACAATTTATAAATTGTTTTTCTTCTTACAGATAAATATAATACTGGCATTTTTTATTTCTTGAAAGGTTAATGATATTAGCCAATAGAAAAATAATTAATGAGAAACATGAACTTACAGGGACTATCATGATGACAATGAAATTCCTTTCATCAATTTTATAGGAACTTATTTTCTGGCCGTCATCTAAAATTTTACCTTGAAAAATTTATTGTTTATTTAGTGATAATTGCCCATTTATTTTTATGCATAACTCAACTACAATGATCAGTGTATACAAATTTTCATGAATTAATCATGTAATTTATATATATGATGGTGAACCTGATCACTGCAATGCAGAATTGTGCACTGAGCATCTCAGTGCTGAAATTTAAAATGCAACTGAGTTATTTATATCAACAATCTTTCATAATGATAATAGCAAGCTTCAAATTCATAATTAGTTATCAACAGTTAGAAATGATACTTAACAAGAATGGAAAAAAATCGGAAGTTATAAAATAGTAAAAAATGAAAAATAATTGCAGTAATAAAATTTTGAACCAGAGTAGATAAGTTTCTGTGAAATGACTGCATACTCCTCTCCTTTTTCTAATGCAATCTTTTGTTTTAGCTCTAAAACCTAAAGCAATGTTTTGTCAGTTAATTATATATAATATCAATTAATTTTTAGCATAAAATCTAATTGTTGTGTTTAATTTAAACAGCAATTAAAGCCAGCAGTCTTTTAAGTGGACAGGGCTTTCGAATAAATTGTAATTAAATTGAAGAATTATAAAAATGAGAGCATTATTTCGATCAGGGGGCAAACTTTTTGCTGCGAGGGCCACGTTGAGAACTATTTTACCTTTGAAGGGCCTCATATGTACTTAAATAGCAAATTTTTTTCGACCCAGGGGAGAACTTTTAAGATTTGTGGCTACTTTTTTTGGACATAATGTATGGCTGACAATCTTTTTATGGGCTGCATAAAATAGCTTCATGGGTCATAGTTTGCCCACCAGATTTAGGTAAAACATTTCTTTGAAAAATTATATAAAGTAAATAATGAATATGATACTTGAACTAAAAATTGAATTATGTATTCTAAGAAGGAATTAGTTAATGTGCAATGATGTATGATAACTGGCAAACAATCTAAATATAGTTATTGAGAACAATTTGAATAATGCTCCTAGGTCAATTATATAACAACTTTTTAAGTACCCTAGTACAAATCAGTATGTCAGAGCCAGATGAAAAATATCCGACTCTTAAAAAATTCTACTCAGGGTAAAAACTTCTGAATCCAACTATGGGTTCCTAATTCCAGAAAATATCACCTTATTGTCACTAAATAAAAAATATATTATAAAACACTTGAAATCAGTCAATGTTTTTTTTTAGGAAAATTACTTCATTTTTATGTTTTACAAAATACTAAAAAAATTATGTGATTTATTTTCACATTAATAGCACTTATGCCCAGTATTAAAGATGATTACTTATCCCTACATATATATTTATTTTCTAAGAAACACAAACACAATCTTAAAAAAACTTTCAGAAAAAAATTGAATCTTTTAAAAAATGAATAACTATTTTCGGAGTATTCCTAAAAAAATATGACTGATGTTCAAACAGTTTTCGTTTTGTTCCTTATGATAGAAAACATTTAAGAACAGATTAATTTTTTATGTATTAAATACTGCGTAAAACTGTCAAATTTTTGAATTTAACCTTCTTTATATTTATAGTATAAATAATAAAAATAAATATAACTTTAAATTTATGAAACAATGTATATTTTTATGGTAATAAATGATGTCAAATAAAATTCTGTTCAAGACTTGCATATTAGTATAAAATTACCAGTGAAAATACAATATTTACAGCAAGCTTAGTAATTTATACTGTGAGTAGCGGTAATAACTGTCCACTAAGCCAAAAAACATGTTGCATTTTGACATTTACCTTGCAACTGTAATTTATTTTGTATGCATCAGTAATTACCGAAAAATAAAATTGTGTGCAAAACAAAATCATCACTGACTAAGCAAAAATTAATATTTCAAAAAATTTACTGTGGACCTAGTAAAGGTTACTCTCTCTCTTTTTTGCGTTAGCTTCAGAGGTTTCAATGACAAACACACACAGCGTATGTGAATACGCGTGCAAACCACGCATCATACACATTGCATATGATAGGCGGGGATCTCTTTGTATTCGAACCCAGTCATTGCAATAGCAAGACCAGGAGCCTTTAACCATTGAGCCATCACGCCTCCCAGTAATTGTTTATCATTTTAACAGCGTATTTACCGCAAACGAAGTAAAATAGATGTGCTTGGTATTTAGCCCCTAGTGCTTTGTTTAATTTATATCAGTAGAGACTACTAGCACTAGAAATTTCCATTTGTATTAAATTAAAATTTAATCTAAAATTTTAATATTAAACTCAAAGCAAGTTTTTGTTTTTGATTTAGTAGATTATTAAAAATTATTCATTTATTTATACTTTTATTTTTTATATAATATATATATACTATACTAACTCTTCTATAGCAGCTAACAATTACAATACCCATGGCATTTATCCGGTAAATCAGAATTATTAATTTTAGGTTAGTAGGGCTAGTTAGGCTAATCAGCAATTCTCGCTCACCAAATGACACGAACGATTAAATGATTATAATAAATGATTTACAATAAAATAAAAATATTAAAATGAATTAAAAATTAAATTAAAAATATAAAGAAAAAAGCATGACAAAAGAAAACTAACCGACTTATCGGGGTCTATTTCGACCTTGAATGTTTGTTGCTGCAAAGTTTTCAAAGTGATCCACATCATCGAAATCAAGACTTCACTAATTTTATTGTAAAAGATTTATAAAACTCGTTACACAATCATTCATCAATAAAAAAAAAAAGAGTCCGAGTTTCGGCGAAACAGCTCTGCAGTAAATGTTCTCATAAAAGAGATGTGTTCAGAAATTGTGGAAATTTAAAAATTTCGGAGATCTTCATTTTTTAAAACGAATGAGATAACTGCGCAAATTTTGTTAAATATAATTCAAATATTTTATATAAATGTTAATAATGAGTATTGTAAAATTATCAAAATTGTAAAAGTTAATCATGTTCTCATAAACCACATTCTTGGTTTTAATTATATAACTATCCATAGAATTTTAGATTTTATTCATTTTGATTATTTTCTTTAATTGATTTATTTCATGCATTCACACAATATTTTGGCATATATAGTACCTTTATTCTGTTGTCATAAAGCCACGATTATTTGAGATTTTAGTTCTTGACAGGCCTCCCTCTTTTTAGAATATATGCTATTATATAACCATATCCAAAGGATTGACGGCGCTTGTGCTCGGTATTTCAAACTAGGGTTCATAGCGAAACTTGGGTTCACCTTGCATAGAGGTCAAATCAAAAGCGATGTAAACGTAAAATTTAATATAAACCATTGACACCTTCGACAAAGATGTTTCTTAAAAAACTTGTGTATATTAAAATATTTTATTAAAAATGAAATACATTTCGTAAACGAATTTCTTTTACTGCTGTTTTTTTAACAAAATCTCCTAAGTTTTCTATAATCCTTTGCAATTTTGTCAATATTAGGTAACACTATTGTGTGCTAAAACCATCTGTAATAACAGTAATTATTAATTAATTTATTATTATTATCAATTTAATTATTGGCAATAAAATAGATGTTGTTCACATTTTTTATTTTTTTTAAGTACCACAACTTTAGATTCATTTGAAAGTATCTGCCGTCGTCGTAAACAACCAAACTCTTTTTTCCCGATCGCTTTCATTAAGAACATCAACTCTCATTAACAAACAAGACATTGTTTTACAAGTTTTTTTGTCATTAGCTCTCATGACTACCAGACGTTGAACTTTGGCAGTTGCCAGAATGTTTGTGATATCGATGTAGAAATTTTCACCGCAACCTTGCCTAATATGAACAAAAAAGTTTTCTAAAACATTCTAACTAAGTGCTGAAGGCAGCACTTACTGAAACTGATGATCAGAAAAAAGTACTTCAGCAACAGCGATGTTGAATTTGGTTGTCGCTACAAATGCGGCAGCTGTAAAATTTGTGAGCTTGCATTGTCGTACACGACAGACTGCAATGACATCACAAAGTTTTGGCGACGTCACAAAGTTTTAGAGCACTGTACCGGTTTTTGATATTCATCAACTTAGACCACGTGCTCACAAGATTTATGAAACATACTGTACCTTCTTCTACGTGCAGTTTTTCTTTAAAAGTAAAGCTGCTACTTTCTTTTCATGGAAAGCATTTCAAACCAAATGTAGATTCTGATGTTGCATGAATTTTGGATGTACATATGTGCCAATAAGTTTAGTGAAACGTATAACTGTCACTGTCTTTTTTGTACAGAGCTTTCACATCACAGCAGTATATAACAAAACTCCTTTTCAGTAAAATGTAAATATTGTTTTAACTCAGTGATCCGGTTATTTTGAATGTTTTTGAATATTGTATTGCATTGCAAAATTTGTACAGCGTCTCTTGTGAGTTGACTTCAGAAGCGCTCTCTACTTTCTTTGCCGTTGAATGTTGAAAAAATGAGTCTTTAGCCGTTTTTTGAATTCACTTCGACTCATGATGTTGAAATTCTTCAGATCAGCAGAAATATATACAACATAATTATATACAAGGAATAATTTAGTGACATGACCTAGAAGATTCACCGTTTTTGGGCCACCACGGTTGTTGTGCAATTGTCGCACACTATAAATATAATGCATCCAATGCTTTTCAAAATGGATTCAACAGCTTCCAACAAATAACAATGTAGTTGCTTTGCATTGAGTTAAGTAACAGGAATGACACGAGTAATAAAGCAAGGTCCGCTGTAGTGGCAGATAATCCCGAAACCTAACGCAGACGTAGGTACTTGATCTGGGGCATTTTGTGCATACTCGATGACACGAATAGAAATAGAACAGAGACAGAATAGGACAAAGATAAAACGTAACAGCTATAAAAGAGAACATTTATTTTTGAGTTTATTTTTCAGCGCTTTCATTTATTTAATTGTAACGCTAAACAAAAAAGCTGTTATATCCTGTTCTATTTTATCCTCTTCTGTTTTATCTTTTCTGATTTATTTTGAATTATGACATTAAAGTTTAAATTTCAGTTGTTTAATGCCTTGAACCCAAGTTTTGTTTTGTTATGAACCCAAGTGTAAAATACCGAGAGCGAGCGCTGTAAGTTGCTACAGATATGCTCGCTACTACAAAATTTTTCAAGAATCAAAAATCCTTCCCAGACAACCAAAGTCAACTTTGAAACCTCCTAAAATAGTAGAACCATTTGAACGTGTCCACATCGGCATTATTATTATTTAATTTTCAATCTTATCAAACACAAATTTGTCAATAGGTGCCAGATTAGTTTTGCATACACTAAAATATTTGTATGTGCCTGGCCTGATCATAAAGATGTTATGTTTTAATCAATCACTTTTACAAATACAAAAGATGTAGAAGTAGAGTCGGACTGGTTTACAAACCTGCCCGAAAAATTTGGTCATGGTTACCCACATAATACTATTTTCCATCTAATTCAATTTCTATATATTTTTAGTTTCTATGATTATTTCATGCATAAATGAAATTTTAAGCTTTAAAATCACCACTTGAAGTCGTACATTAATGATTTTAATCATTATACATTAAAATTTGTAATTATGCAAAACAACTTTAAACAGATGAATATTTTTTAGTTCTGTTCTAACAATTTAATCAATCAATCAATCAATCAATCAATCAATCAATCAATCAATCAACCAACCAACCAACCAACCAACCAACCAACCAACCAACCAACCAACCAACCAACCAACCAACCAACCAACCAACCAACCAACCAACCAACCAACCAACCAACCAACCAATCAATCAATCAATCAATCAATCAATCAATCAATCAATCAATCAATCAATCAATCAATCAATCAATTAGCTTGTAAAGCGCTGTTTCCGCGATGTTCAACAGCGCTCCTCAATGAATTTTGAAAACAGATGGGTCTTGAGATCCGCTCTGAACTTCGTAAGTGATGGAGAAGTAGTCAGAGAAGTAGGTAGAGAGTTCCAGAGAAAAGGACCAGAAAAAGCAAAAGCAGATTTGACAAAAGTGTGTTTAACACGAGTTAAGAAGAAGCGAGAACCAAAAGACGATCATAAACCGGGGTGTTTATGTTCAATTAATATATCTGATAAATACTTAGAAAATAAATATATAAATTCCGGCAACAAGAGATGCAGGAAACTGAAATCATCTTTATATGATCCTTCATCAATAATCTACTATCAAGCAAAACTCCCAAATTGGTGGCAGCATGAATGAACGGTATGTTAACATCATTTACTGTGATGGAATTTACATTTAATATTACCAACTGCTGCCATGTGCCAACCGGAAGCAGCTGAGTCTTGCACTGATTAAGTCTCAATGAGTTACATGACATCCATTTTCCAACCTCCGCTGAGCATTTGGCAAGTTTATCAACCTCAGTCTTGAAAAAAACCAGGATGACCAGTCACCAAAATTTGAATATCATCCGCAAAAGCATGGCAAGCAAATCTATGAAAATTGATAATTTTAAATACATCTGATGTATATAATATGAACAGAATAGGTCCGAGAACAGATCCCTGAGGTACCCCTGATTTGACCATTTTAACATCAGACAGCACATTGTTGAACAAGATCTGCTCTGTTCGATCCGTCAAATATGACTCAAACCACGCAAAAACAGTGTCATTCAATCCGTAATTGTACCGCAACATCTTCAAAAGTATACCATGGTTGACACAGTTTTGAACATCCATTGTTGAAAATATGTTTGATAAAACCTGAAGTAACGCTGTCTCAGTTGAGTGGAATCGTCTATATGCTGACTGATGAATCGGCATCAAACCATTTAAAGACAAATAGACTAGTAGACTCTTCATTACAACCCTCTCGACAACCTTTGATATGAACGAAAGATTTGATATAGGTCTATAAATTTTAACATCATTAACATCAGAGTTTGTTATATATATGTATATGTATATATGTTGATTCTATATATATATATATATATATATAAAATAGACCATAATTTTTACAATATTCTATAAATTCTACCGAATGTTTAGCGTTAATATATAAATATATATATATATATATATATAAATATATATAAATAAATATATATATATATATATATATATATATTATATTAACGCCAAACATTTGGTAGAATTTATAGAATATTGTAAAAATTATGGTACCAATTATTCAATTATTTCTAAAGGAGCGGAGTTTGGTTGTTGGATCACTATGTTTTAAAAAATACATCAATTTTTTTTATTTTATTATGTTAGAATCACTCGAGTTATTTTCCAATGTAAAATAATTTTCAAATTTTTTATAAAAATTTTATATCGTCAATTTTTTCTGCTTTACGTTTTCGGTACGCTCCACATGGTTTTTTTTGTTATGAGTTTTGGAAAAAATTTCTTGATTACCTTCCATCGATTGTTGATATCGGTTTTATTCTACCTATACTTTGTAAAATGAAAAAGTAATTCACAATACTTAGAAGTTAAAAAAAAATTTAATATTTTTACTTACCTGCTTTTTATTTCTGTAAAAATTGAAATCTTGGTAAAAAATGAACCTGAAGTGCAACAATGAAAACAACTTTAACTAAGTTGTAAATTATTTAACCAACAAAAATTTTGCGTAAATTACCAAAAGTCATAAATGAGTAGGTAAGACACAAGATGGCGCCGCAAAGATACAAGCGCACAAAATGAATTTTAGTTAACGTTTTAAAAAATTATGGTAAAATTTATAATTTTTTGATTAAAAATTATTTTTCAAATTATTAATATGAAAAATAGATTAATTTTCAGTAAAAAACTAATTTGTTAAAAATAGATATGAGTAAAACTAATTCTATTTTCAACATATTTTTATAAAAAAATATCTAGTGTTTATTTTGCGGACAGCATTTGGCACCCGACCTTGCAACCCCTAATGTCGGCACTGCTTCAAACTGCTACGCACTGAGAATAAAATAATTGTTCTTTTTTTGCCATAATTTCAAAATGAAAATCAACTGCTAAGACTGCCTAAACAATAAGGTATTTGCAACGTGGGTGGACGCTTCAGACAAATGCATGTTCTTGTTCAAATTATTTTTTTGAAAAACGTAGATTTTACTAATTTAATGTAAAATGTACAGTTAATAAATAACTTGTAATTTTGGTTATGTTTCTTTTTAAATATCAATAAATATTATAAAAATTTCAAATTGTTATTTTTAAGTAAACAATAAAAGCATTTCAACAGCACAATACGGCAAATATTGGTCCTCTTTAAAATTTAAAATGATACATAAATATTATACAACACTTCATAAGCTGCACATTTCTGAAAAAATAATCTTTCTGAAGAATGATATGTCTAACGAACATTTATTTTTTCAGTAAAAAAAGGATTATAAAATAATTTGAATTTGTTTAAAGGCAAGAATATAAAAATTTTTTACAAAATAATTTTATTGAAAGCAAAAAAATTTTTGTATAATATAATATAATATAATTATATGAAATGATTTTGTTGCCTTATGGCATTCAAATCTTTCATCAGTCCCTCAATATTCGCCATCTCTTCCGTCAGATCTTCTGTGCTATCTTTTTTCTAGCATTTAATAAAAATTGTTTCATCAAGTTATGCCTCTTTTTTTTCGGATAAAAATTATGTAGTGTTTAAAAAAGTTATTTTAAATGAAAATCTAAAAAATAGTTATTTATCTTTCAAACAAATGAAGTTCGTTTTTATTTGAAACAATTTCTAACCTTCAGCAATCCTCTGCCGTCGATGTGATGGAGTTGTGGTTTGATGCTGGATGACAAGAGTAGGTGAGGAGAAGAGAGGAGTTTTAAAGGAGGCAACATCCGAGATGATTCATTGGAATGGTTGGATGTCTGTGGATCGATGGATGTAAGGTTCATGTTCATCATCAGTGTTGATGGATTATTAGAAGTTGCTGAGAATTTCCTTGAACCTTTGTGAATTGAGAAAAATATATATTAAAATAAAAAATTTTTTGTGAAAAAACTTAGAAATTTACACCACACGCAAACACACACACATATCAGATAGTCTCAACCAGTGACGGATCTAGGGGTGGGGGCCCCGTTGTGGGCAGTTTTTTAATAAAAGTCAGAAAAAAGACCGTTTTATGTATAAAATCGACCAAAAAGGTCCTCAGCCACACTACCACAAATCTTGACCTCCTCGGGAAAATTCTGGCCCCAATCAAAATTTAAACTTTTTCAAAATTTTTTCCTCCCCGTCGAAGTTGTCTAGATCCGCCACTGGTCTCAAACCAATATTTGTAAAAAAAACTAGTCGACCCCGTGACCTTCGTATCACCTGCAAAAATGAATATCAACATAAATCACTAAAAGAAATTAACTGCCAATTTTTCAGAGGTTTTATTCGAATTTCTAAGAAAGGCTTTAATTCAACAACCTCCTACAAATGCAAACCTATTCAGATGGGGTAAGTCGTCTAACGCGTTGTGTTCGCTTTGAGTTTGTAACGCGATCCAAACAAGCATGTTTTGTCAAATTGTAGTTCAGTATCGGCTTTGAAAAGATTCACGAATCGACACAATAGAATATTATCCTTAATTTTGAAAAAAATCAGATCGTCTGCAAAACCGGAGTGACAATTTTTGCTGATACGAACAGCAATGACAAACCCTTTGTCCTGATATTGTTCTTTTCCACGGAGACACGATCGAAGTACTGGAACTGGAGCTTCTCGAAATCAAGGGACTACAAAATATCTAAATATTTTCAAAACCTCAATAACAACTTGATTGACAATATAAATCATTTAAAAACAATAATTAAAACTGTTAAAATTTTCCCGCTAGGTTTCTTTAAACATTTTCATTTATCATTTGTCAACTTAAATTGGTCAGATCAATTTTACAATAACTCAATCAACTCGGCAATATCACCGTCATATGCCATATGTTGTGACCGTAACTGCAGGTTAAACTGATTTTATTTCTCCTTGTACTCATTCATTTTAAATTTTATGAATGACGAGCATTGTAGTATCTCCGTTTTATTCTATTCTGTTCTATTTATGTACCTTTTAATTATCAGATATCGTGTTAATTAAATCATTTGTTTTTATTATTATACTGCCAGTTTTATTAATTTTAACTTCATTTTATTTTACCTAATTTTCTTTTATCATTTTATCTTATTATATTGATAGTTCTTTCGTTGAATAAAAACAGTGTTCATATTATTATTATTATTACTTCCCTTCTCAAAGATCAACTCTACCAAACATCGCTGACATTGATAACTTCACCACCAGTTTTCAGTCATTAATATACAACTTTTTTGCATCAACCTACGGCACAATTAAACAACAGACAAATTCAACAACAACATTTGACAAACCAATGGACAAGCTAAAGAAAGAATTGAAACTACTAAAGCTGCTAGGCCGCAACAACCAAAACTTCGACTTCCAAATTAAAACGTTAAGCAAAAAAATAAGATCAAGGAAAGCATCAACAAAGCCAAATGAAATTGAAAAAAATTGATATCACAAACCAATTAAAACTTAAATTCTGTGTCGACATGTGAAAAATTATTCAACCCGGCTAGTCTGCTGCCTCAATTCAACGTCAAGGAATGTAAACAATTTTTCAACAACATTTTAAAGGATCAATGCTACAACAAACACCGCCTACCAAATTGGATTAAAACATTACCAAACCCCTCAATAGCCTGTGATACCAATCCTCCCACGTATAATGAAATCTTTTCAATTATCCGGAAATGCAAATCAAGAGCTTCTCCTTGCCTATTGGACCAGATGTCAGTAATGGTTGAAAATGTCAATACTTTGTACAAACCTTCATCAGTTACTGGTTAAATGTTGGAGAACGTCGTCGATTCCTTCCTGCTAGAGGAAAGGGCTGACAATATTGATTTACAAAAAGGGGGGTGCCCAACCTATCGAATTTCAGGCCAATAACACTTCAACCAATATTATACGCTATCTATTGCGACAGAAATGTGAAATAAATCAATTTTAAAACTAATTAACTCTGGTCGTACTTTTTCGATTCAGATTAATGCTCAATTTATTGCATTTGAAATTTTATTTTATTTCATTATTTTATTTTAATTTTGTACTGCCATTTTCATTGATTTTATTGCTGAATAAAAAATTGTTTCCATTATAATTATTATATTTTTAGCAATGAGGTTGTGATTTTTAGCGTTGTGCATCGTTAGTCCTATAATTAGTCTGTAATAGTCATGCCGGTGTATGATGATTTTAGACGCGCACAATTTTAACTGCGCCGGAAAATTTACAAATAACAAGACTACGTTTAGGTGTTTTTGTGTCTTTATAGAAAGCTTCTAATTTATTTTTATCATCAGGGTCTATAGGCGATATATTATTTTTTATCGTAACACCATCAGTTTTTGTGAGGAAGACACAAAATTACGGGTCTCTCACGAGACTGACGAGTCTCGTGAGAGACGAAACGTACGTCTGGCCTATGGCGGATAAAGGTTTACCAACAATGATATTACATTACAATATCATTTCTTTTTGTTGTTGCTGTTGTTATTGGTGTTAATGACGTTATCGTGACTGTGATTATTGTCAACGCTATTTTTATTATTGTTGTTATATTTATTTTCAAAATTATTAGTGATGTTGTTATTATTACTGTTACTATCATCGTTGTTACAGTTGCTGTTGATACTGAACTTGTTGTTAACTTGATCGATGATTTTTTCAATCTGTTCTGAATTATAATTATTGTTGTTAGAAGGTAATTCGGTGACCGGTTTGATCTCAGATCGAGTATCTTGACGCGTGAGTAAATGCACGATTAATTAAAGAACTAATTGTACTGACTTTGTAATTATCGGTGCATTCACCAATTATTTTTCATTATTGTTATTAATCTTTCTTAGATGTTCCTCAGAGGTTATTACAACAAACACCCAGTGTATAAATACACGTGTTTCAACACATACGATAGGCGGGGATCTCTTTACATCGAATCATCGGGACACTGCATCAACAATGCCAGGCACCTTAACCATTGGCCTGTGAGACTGATGAATGGTGTCTGTGTTGTTCATATTTCTAACATATTTTTCAATAGATTTTTTAAAAATATTTTATAGGAAATAATTGTGAAGAACAAGCAGCTTTCATTGTGACGTCAATAGTTTCTTTAACTAGCACATTGGCGAATAATGATTCAACATCAAGAGAGAAAATATAGTTTGATGTGTTGTTGGTGTTTAAAACTTGCATGAATTCTCTAGATGTAGTTATTGAGTATGTACGAAGTAAGAATTTTATTTAAGCATTTAGCGATTGGATAGGTGATATTTGGCTTATTATGAGCCTAAGAGGATTGTTTGACATTTCCATATAAATACAAGGTTTGTATTCTTCTATAAGGAAGATAATTTTTTTTATTTTTCAGATTATATTATTAAGTTCGGTTTTCAATTTAGGTGTAACATTAGTAGCTTGGAACGTTGAAACATTTAATAAAAATAATATTCTATTTATCAAAACAATCTGTTTTATTTAAAATTATGTACATCGATTTATTTAAAATTATGTCAGCACGACGAAGTATTATCTTTTTATTTTTAGTTTCTGTAGCAGCTTCTTTCATATCATTTTTCATTATTCTACTATTAAACACACCACGCAGTTTTTTGGATATGGATAGAAGATGTGGAGCAAGGCAGTAGATGGATTAAA